TTCCCTAAGTTTTCCTAGATCCTGCCACTAGAAGCCATCTTTGCAGGCTCTGCATTTCTATGGTACTTTGAATCTAATGTTCTGTACCACATTCTACCTTGTATCATAGTCCTATATATCATGTTTTTCTCTTATACAACATTATGAGCTCCTAGGAATAAGGACTCTGGTTTATTCATATCCCTTCTTCCCCAGAATACCTACTTTGAGAGTAGGCATGCAAGGATATCAATTTAATTGACTTTTATTAAATGATGTGGAAATGTCATAGCATGTGAAGGTAATCTGTGGCAAAGCTTCCCCCTACCACAGGGGGAGGGGAAGCCTAATGTGCTTCAAAACCTTCCACAAGTGGATCGATAACTCAGAACTCCAAAGTCTTAATCTGAAAAGAGAGATAATCTCTACAGAAAAAGTCTGGGCAGATGATCCAAGTGAAAATTCCAAAAAACTGAGCATCCAAAGCATTGAGAGTACACACTCAGCTTCAAACTGGAGCTTTTCCATCAGTGGATGAGCCAAATGAGTGAAGTCTTACGGAGAAAAATAAAAGCATAATTCTCTGGTGTCCCTTGGAGTTACAGAACCATGTCTCTTCATGGTCAAAGTGGTCAAACTCAACAAAATGAATAAAGGAATGAGCATAAAACTCTGGCAAGCTCCTGGGCATAGTGGTGATTCCACACAAAAGTCTTCTTTGGGAAATTCCTATCAACTACATGCATGACACATGTTGTTCTTTCCTATTGCCATTCCCTCTTGCTCACCAACCAGAATGGCATACAGAGGAATAGCTAGTGCAGAGGCCTTAAGGAATGCCTTCAGGAGGCAAGCCGGAGTCAAAGGTCCAATGCTTAAGCTCTCAGGAATCCTTGTGAGTGTGCGGAGCCAAGGAACAGGAAAGAGGGGAACACCTTGGCTCGGAAGGTATTTATAGGAGAAGAGAAACAGAGGAGCAGGAAAGCCTCCAGCTAGTCCTTTGGAGTCTGGCAGCCTTTTCTGTCACATTTCCCATTTCTAGATTTATGCTCATTGCTTAAGTCCTGAGGGTACTGGAATTATTAAATTGCCTCTTTGTTCAACTCTTACAAGAATTTATATCTAAAAACTATTTGACGTGTTGGGACATTTGTTGTGGGAGATGCAGGAATTGAGGCTCAGTTGCATAAGGGCACACGGTAGATAAACAGAGACAGAATATAGGTACAGCCCGATCCATCCATCCTCCAATAGTTTGAGTCCTGTAATACTGCCCTCTGTACAGAACAGCGGGCTGTTTATTGCTCCTCCTTTGCCTCTCTCCCTTACTCCAATGCGCAGACACACACCCACAAAGTGGGATGAGAAGGCTAGGGAGGGTCCATCCCTAGGGGAAGGAACAGTAAGCGTTGATTCCCAAGGCCTAGGGGTGAGACCTTCCTTTGCCTTTTCTCAGGTCTATAACTTGAACTAATCACTTTTCTCCTTAAGCCTCTGCAACTAGGCTAACTGGCCCTCTCGTGCTTTCCTCATAGCCTGAGATGAATCTTCAGTGCTTCCTCTGAAGGAGGACTTCAAACTGCGAGGTCATGTACAAATTTCAGAAAATGATTGGAGTCTTAACTTCCTTAACTGGATTTTCTTCCTCTTCAAGGAAGGAGTAATATCCATTCTGCAGAAAGGACCCCAAGTGTAGAGCTTCGCCCAGGTTGGCCTCAAGCGGCGCTCACTCTCTGGCTGGCACTTGTGTGTGCAGATCTTGGCACCCCGGCGGCTGCGGCCCGGAGCCGGCAGGGCGCGCGCTTAGCACCGGCGAGCGGCTCGCGGAGGTTCGTGCAGCAGGAGGAGCGTGTGAGCTGTGGGCGTCCCTTTAAGAGCGGTAGGCGACCCGGCCTCCGCCTCTCAGTCCTCCGAGCGTCTGCAATCACCTGGAACTCGCAGGGCAGCCAGATCGCGGCGGAGCCGACGATCCAGCCCGCGGAGGTAGGAGAAGGGGCCGGGACCCCAGGTGCCGGGAGCGGTCCGGGAGCGTGGCCGTCCCGCGCCTCTTCGCGGCGGAGGATGCGGGAGCGCATCTGGGTGCAGCTGCCGCCGCTGCTGCTGCTGCCGCTACTGCTGCTACCGCCGCCGCTG